GTTACAGTTTTGACTTAAATCAGCATGAAAATATATGGCAAGACTTGAAAATGGCTGTCTAGCAATGCTCAACAATCAACTTGACAGAGCTTGAAGAATTTTAAAAATAATAAATGGGCAAATATTGTACAATCCAGGTGTGCAAAGTTCTTAGAGACTTACCCAAAAAGACTCAAAGCTGTAATCGGCGCCAAAGGTGCTTCTACAAAGTATTGTCTCAGGGGTGTGTATATTTGTGTACATAAGATATCTGTATTTCATTTGAAATAGTTTTGCAAATAATTATTAAAAAACATGTTATCACTATGGGGTATTGTGTGTAGATGGGTGAGAAAAAAAATCTGTCATAATTTTTCAATTCAGGCTGTAAAAACAAAAAGAGGAATAAGGGGTATGAATACTTTCTGAAGGCACTGTAAACGTCATTAAAATTGCTTATACAAGTCAGAGGCAGCTGTTAGTAAGGACTGAAATGCTCAACCCAAAGGGCCTTGATCCAGCCAGTTAGATAAAGATTACAGCAGCACCCAGCTCTCCTTCCTACCTGTGTTCAGGGCTGGGCGAGATATGTCCTGAATATCATATCTCGATTTTTTCTAACTTATGGGTGATTCATGATATACATCTCGATTTGAAATCTTTTCACTAAATAAGCTTTGTTGTACAAGTAAAGGTCAAATACAATGCATTGCAAACAGTCAGCAATAATTTAATAAATTCAGGGCTTGTAAAATTATACCTAGGCTAAATATAAGCCTTGCACAACCAAAAGACCCACTAATAATATATTATTTTATCAAAATAGTTTTACCTGCTTTTTTGTAATAATCACTGATATGGCTTTGAAATCTGTCTATGAAAATACCCTTTTGGTTAAACATTTCAACCGGAAACATGCATAATGCACATTCACTAATAATGACTAACTTCTTATAACACAGGTCTCATAAACAATCTCTCAAACACAAGCCCACATGCTAGTGAGTAGCCAGCTAATCTTTATAATTTTAAGTTTAGCCAACTTGGATCTATTTGCTAGCTAACAAAGTAGATCAGCTGAATTGTTATGAAAACACATTTTTGCTTGTAAAGCATGCTACCGTGTCCACTTCAGATGTTGAAATCAACCTTTTTCTCAGAATGAGTTGCTAATTCCTTAAATAAAAACAGTGTTTTATGCTTATGGCACATTTATAAAACAAACTAGACAGCTAGTATAACAGTCTTTGGGTAAAATGCTGCCAGCGGTACGTGACACTGCAATGCCGCTTGCGACAAACTGAGCATTAATTTTCCAGAATCAATGTTAATTAATATTCCTGTTTTAGTAATGTCTGCTCTGCGCAATTTGAAGAGTTGATATATAAAAAGGGTATCATTAGAAAGGTTAACTTCTCCTCCACTACAGTAAAATAATGTCTCAATGTCTTTTGGTGTCCATATGACCGATTCTGTTGGACCAAACCTGAAACGCAAATAGTGAGTTGAAACGCTCGTCAGAGGAAGAAGTGTTCTCTCATCTTTGTTATTGTGAGTGGCAGGGGGAGGGGCTTGGTATGTGTGTCTAAACGGGAAGGTGCACAGTCACAGCAGAAGGAATGAGACCAAAAAGACAACATGAGAACAAGTGGACATAAACGCTCATAAAAACAAACAAAAACGTGATTCTTGCGATACAGGTATTTGGAATATCTCGCTAAAACATTCATTTGAATTAAATTTGATATATTGCTCAACCCTACCTGTGTTCCCTTCATTGTCCGGTTTGTCCAGAGGGTACTCAGGCATACACTCCAAGAACAGTTCAAAGATGGCCGCCGCATTCTCTTTCCCATATTGCCCCAGAACGTGCATCGGTGACTGGCCCCTACAAAACAAACAATAGCTCAGTGTACAAACACATTAAACCTTTCCCTTTGTCCTTCAATTGTATGTATGTATGTATGTATGTATGTATGTATGTATGTATGTATGTATGTATGTATGTATGTATGTATGTATGTACATACATACATACATACATACACACACACTACCGTTCAAAAGTTTGGGGTCACTTAGAAATGTCCTTGTTTTCGAAAGAAAAGCAATTTTTTTGTTGATTAAAATAACAAATTGATCAGAAATACAGTGTAGACATTGTTAATGTTGTAAATGGCTATTGTAGCTGGAAACTGCAGATTTACAAAAGTATCTATATCCACAGTAAAACGAGTCCTATATCGACATAACCTGAAAGGCCGCTCAGCAAGGAAGAAGCCACTGCTCCAAAACCGGCATAAAACAGCCAGACTACGGTTTGCAACTGCACATGGGGACAAAGATCGTACTTTTTGGAGAAATGTCCTCTGGTCTGATGAAACCAAAATATAACTGTTTGGCCATAATGACCATTGTTATGTTTGGAGGAAAAAGGGGGTGCTTGCAAGCCGAAGAACACCAACCGTGAAGCACGGGGATGGCAGCATCATGCTGTGGGGGTGTTTTGCTGCATGAGGGACTGGTGCACTTCACAAAATAGATGGCATCACGAGGAAGGAAAATTATGTGGATATATTGAAGCAACATCTCAAGACATCAGTCAGGAAGTTAAAGCTTGGTCGCAAATGGGTCTTCCAAATGGACAATGACCCCAAGCATACTTCCAAAGTTGTGGCAAAATGGCTTAAGGACAACAAAGTCAAGGTATTGGAGTGGCCATCACAAAGCCCTGACCTCAATCCTATAGAACATTTGTGGGCAGAACTGAAAAAGCGTGTGCGAGCAAGGAGGCCTACAAACCTGACTCAGTTACACCAGCTCTGTCAGGAGGAATGGGCCAAAATTCACCCAACTTATTGTGGGAAGCTTGTGGAAGGCTACCCCAAACGTTTGACCCAAGTTAAACAATTTAAAGGCAATGCTACCAAATACTATTTGAGTGTATGTAAACTTCTGACCCACTGGGAATGTGATGAAAGAAATAAAAGCTTAAATAAATCATTCTCTCTACTATTATTCTTACATTTCACATTCTTAAAATAAAGTGGTGACCCTAACTGACCTAAGACAGGGAATTTTACTAGGATTAAATGTCAGGAATTGTGAAAAACTGAGTTTAAATGTGTTTGGCTAAGGTGTATGTAAACTTCCGACTTCAACTGTACATATACATACACACATATACAGCTGTGGAAAAAATTAAGAGACCACTGCAAATATTTCTTAAATCAGCATATCATGTACGACAGCCATTCCATTCCAGTGTCTGTTGAATTCCAACACAGGCACACCTCATTCTACTGAATTAGGTACTGATTAGGTGATCACCTGAACCAAATCTTATTTAACGAGGAAAAGTATAAAAACCACTGCTGTGGTCATCACTATCCTCTTGCAATAGGACTAGCTGGATGGCAAAAACAGTGCTAATAGTACCTCAAAAGTAATATTAATCAAAAAATAACTATTGACCATGCCAAAAGAGTTGAAAAGGAAAGTTTTGAATGAGGAAAAGATAGGTTCAATTCTAGCTTTACTGGCAGAGGGATACAGTGAGCGTCAGGTTGCTTCCATCCTTAAAATGTAAAGGACGGCAGCAGACATTGGGACAACAAAGCTACAGACCGGCAGAGGGCGAAAACAACTCTCTACTGACTGGGATGACCGCCAACTCATTCGAATGTCACTCAACAACCGTAGGATGACATCAAGTGACCTACAAAAAGAATGGCAAACGGCAGCTGGGGTGAAGTGCACAGCGAGGACGGTTCGAAACAGTCTCCTAGGGGCAGTGCTGAAGTCGTGCAAAGCTAGAAAAAAGCCCTTCATCAATTGAGAAGCAAAGATGAGCCAGGCTGAGGTTTGCAAAACACCATAAGGATTGGTCCTCCGTAGAGGACTGGAGTAAGGTAATCTTCTCTGATGAGTCAAATTTTCAGCTTTGCCCAACACCTGGTCGTCTAATGGTTAGACGGAGACCTGGAGACGCCTACAAGCCAGTGTCTCGCACCCACTGTGAAATTTGGTGGAGGATCGGTGATGATCTGGGGGTGCTTCAGCAAGGCTGGAATCGGGCAGATTTGTCTTTGCGAAGGATGCATGAATCAAGTCACATACAATGTTGTCCTGGAAGAAAACTTGCTTCCTTTTGCTCTGACATTGTTCCCCAACTCTGAGGATTGGTTTTTCCAGCAGGACAATGCGCCATGCCACACAGCCAGGTCAATCAAGGTGTGGATGGAGGACCACCAGATCAAGACCCTGTCATTGCCAGCCCAATCTCCAGACCTGAACCCCATTGAAAACTTCTGGAATGTGATCAAGAGGAAGATGGATGGTCACAAGCCATCAAACAAAGCCGAGCTGCTTGAATTTTTGCACCAGGAGTGGCATTAAATCACCCAACATCAATGTGAAAGACTGGTGGAGAGCATGCCAAGACACATGAAAGCTGTGATTGAAAATCAGGGTTATTCCACCAAATATTGATTTCTGAACTCTTCCTAAGTTAAAACATTACTATTGTGTTGTTTAAAAATGAACATGAACTTATTTTCTTCGCATTATTCGAGGTCTGACAACACTGCATCATTTTTTGTTATTTTGACCAGTTGTCATTTTCTGCAAATAAATTCTCTAAATGACAATATTTTTATTTGGAATTTGGGAGAAATGTCAGTAGTTTATAGAATAAAACCAAAAATGTTATTTTTACCCAAACACATACCTATAAATAGTAAAACCAGAGAAACTGATAATTTTGCAATGGTCTCGTAATTGTTTCCGCAGCTGTATACACACACACACACACACACATTTGTCCTGATCTTACTTTCTGTTAATGTAAGAGCTTCAGCGAGAAAGATTTCCAATGTATTTATTACATTAAGCAAATCAATTTGAACTGTAAACCGGAACTGAACTACTGTTGAGAGAGGGAGTGTACCTGAGATTGAAGGCCTCCGCGTCAATGTTGGACTCTGTGAGAAGGGCTCGCACGTTATTAAGGCGACCCTGCATTACGGCCAGGTGCAGTGCTGAGGACAGAAAAGACAGAAGACAACCTGAGTATTAGAACGAGCTAAACTGAGATGAGGGACAAAGAAACAGTGAGTGCAGGGTACTGCATAGCAGAATTTCAAACTAATTCAATTACAGGAGTTGGAAATGTAATCTAAGCTGAAACAGCCCCATCAATACAGGACTAAGATCGAATCGTACTACACCGGCTCCGACGCTCGTCGGATGTGGCAGGGCTTGCAAACTATTACAGACTATAAAGGGAAGCACAGCCGCGAGCTGCCCAGTGACACGAGCCTACCAGATGAGCTAAATTCCTTCTATGCTCGCTTCGAAGCAAGTAACACTGAAACATGCATGAGAGCATCAGCTGTTCCGGATGACTGTGTGATCAAGCTCTCCGTAGCCGATGTGAGCAAGACCTTTAAAAACAGGTCAACATTCACAAGGCCGCAGGGCCAGACGGATTACCAAGATGTGTACTCCGAGCATGTCCTGACCAACTGGCAAGTGTCTTCAGACACTTTCAACCTCTCCCTGTCTGAGTCTGTAATACCAACAAGTTTCAAGCAGACCACCATAGTCCCTGTGCCCAAGAACACTAAGATAACCTGCCTAAATGACTACCAACCCGTAGCACTCAAGTCTGTAGCCATGAAGTGCTTTGAAAGGCTGGTCATGGCTCACACAACACCATTATCCCAGAAACCCTAGACCCACTCTAATTTGCATACCGCCCCAACAGAGCCACAGATGATGCAATCTCTATTGCACTCCACACTGCCCTTTCACACCTGGACAAAAGGAACACCTACGTGAGAATGCTATTCATTGACTATGCTCAGCGTTCAACACCATAGTGCCCTCAAAGCTCATCACCAAGCTAAGGACCCTGGGACTAAACACCTCCCTCTGCAACTGGATCCTGGACTTCCTGACGGGCCGCCACCAGGTGGTAAGGGTAGGTAACAACACATCCGCCATGCTGATCCTCAACACGGGGGCCCCTCATGGGTGCGTGCTCAGTCCCCTCCTGTACTCCCTGTTCACTCATGACTGCATGGCCAGGCACGACTCAAACACCATCATTAAGTTTGCCAAAGACAATAGTGGTAGGCCTGATCACCGACAACGACGAGACAGCCTATAGGGAGGAGGTCAGAGACCTGGCCGTGTGGTGCCAGGACAACAACTTCTCCCTCAACGTGATCAAGACAAAGGAGATGGTGGACTACAGGAAAAAGAAGAGGACCGAGCATGCCCCCATTCTCATCGACGGGGCTGTAGTGGAGCAGGTTGAGAGCTTCAAGCTCCTTGGTGTCCACATCACCAACAAACTAACATGGTCCAATCACACCAAGACGGTCGTGAAGAGGGCACGACAAAACCTATTCCCCCTCAGGAGACTGAAAAGATTTGGCATGGGTCCTCAGATCCTCAAAAGGTTCTACAGCTGCACCATCGAGAGCATCCTGACTGGTTCCATCACTGCCTGGTATAGCAACTGCTCGACCTCCGACTGCAAGGCACTACAGAGGGTAGTGCGTACAGCCCTGTACATCACTGGGGCAAAGCTTCCTGCCATCCAGGATATCGATACCAGGCGGTGTGAGAGGAAGGCCCTAAAAATTGTCAAAGACTCCAGCCACCCTAGTCATAGACTGTTCTCTCTGCTACCGCACGGCAAGCGGTACCGGAGCGCCAAGTCTAGGTCCAAGAGGCTTCTAAACAGCTTCTACCCCCAAGCCATAAGACTCCTGAACATCTAATCAAATGGCTACCCAGACTATTTGCATTGCACGCCCCCCCCCCCTTTTGCGCTGCTGCTGCTACTACTCTGTTTCCTATCTATGCATAGTCACTTTAATAACTCTACCTACATGTATATATTGCCTCGCCTGGCCAGTGCCCACGCACATTGACTCTGTACCGGTGCCCCCTGTATATAGCCTCGCTATTGTTATTTTACTGCTGCTCTTTATACACACACACATTTTTTTGGGGGGGGGGGGTATTCTTTCTTAAAACTGCATTGTTGGTTAACATTTCACTGTAAGGTCTACACCTGTTGTATTCGGCGCATGTGACAAATAACATTTTATTTGATCTCATCTATGGTTGAGTCCCAAATGGCACCCTATTCTCCAATTCCCTGGTCAAAAGTAGTGCACTATACATGGGGAATAGGGTGCCATTTGGGACACAGCCTACATTACTGCTCAGTCGGTACCGTTGTTGCCATTCTCGTCCACAGCGGTGAAGTCCACTCCGTTCTCCAGCAGCACAGAGCAGATAGTAGCCAGGTCCTGCTGGGACGCTAGGTGTAGAGCTGTCTGTCTGTGTTTGGTCAGCTCATTCACTTTGGCCCCTGCCAGCAGCTGCAATGGACATAAGAGTCAGATAGGAGTCGAAATCAGACACACAAGCATCTCAGACACACAGAGACGTTGGTTGCATTCAAGGTTGTCTCTTTTACATTTGAGTTCCGTATCTCAGAACAGCATATTCATGTGGTTCCTGACATATTAAACATGTCACAATCTGGTAATCTGCACACCATGACGAAACATCCTAGATAGACAACACTTGGGGCTCCATTTTCTTGGGTTTGGTTAATACCACCACACCGTGACAGTATAAAGCCATGGAGCATGTTGCATCAAAACCCAGCCCTTTCGTGCCACGGCCAGCTACTGCGCCATTGATTCCCACTGTGCTATAGTGCCACGCAAGAGCGCCAAGATCAACTTAGGTTTGTTAAAATAGAGCCCACAGACACAGCTATTCAGACAGAATAACAGCTTCTCACACTGGTGAGAAAGCCGTTTAGCTCCAGGTGAGGAGGTAGGATAGGTATCATTACTAGGTTGCGGACGATGATCTCCGAGCCAGCCTGAACAGCCAGGTGTAGAGGAGTCTGCTTGGCAGCGTCCTGCACCCGGGAGTTCACGTTGGCCTCGACACTGATCAGGAACAGAACACTTTCGATGTCAGAGTTCTGCACCGCCACATGCAGGAAGTTACGCCCTTTGTTATCCACCTGAGAGGAAAGAGAATGATTGTGGGTTAGACTTCATCATACACAATGTGTTTGGCGTTACTAACAAAGGAGGGATGGGCACGGTTATTTAAATAGCTGAACGGACGTTAGTATGCGGCCTATTTTAACTCTTTACACTCGTACCCGTATACGGGTTCAAAAGAACAGATTTGAAAACTGATAAGCACCTAAATTGGAACACGGTAGCAGTATAGTAACACGTTATACATGATGTCAGAGCTCAAGGTCTCCGCTTCACAGCGCAGTATTGTTTTGACTGACAGTGGTTCTTAACTTGAACAACGCCTGAAAAGAAGTTACTCCCATCACTCCCGCTAATTGGGCACCTTTTGCAAATGTTTTGTTGTCTGTGTGAGGAAACTGATGTAAATAATGAGGACTCGATGTACACTGCTCAAAAAAATAAAGGGAACACTAAAATAACACATCCTAGATCTGAATGAATGAAGTAATCTTATTAAATACTTTTTTTCTTTACATAGTTGAATGCGCTGACAACAAAATCACACAAAAATGATCAATGGAAATCAAATTTATCAACCCATGGAGGTCTGGATTTGGAGTCACCCTCAAAACTTAAGTGGAAAACCACACTACAGGCTGATCCAATTTTGATGTAATGTCCTTAAAACAAGTCAAAATGAGGCTCAGTAGTGAGTGTGGCCTCCACGTGCCTGTATGACCTCCCTACAACGCCTGGGCATGCTCCTGATGAGGTGGCGGATGGTCTCCTGAGGGATCTCCTCCCAGACCTGGACTAAAGCATCCGCCAACTCCTGGACAGTCTGTGGTGCAACGTGGCGTTGGTGGATGGAGCGAGACATGATGTCCCAGATGTGCTCAATTGGATTCAGGTCTGGGGAACGGGCGGGCCAGTCCATAGCATCAATGCCTTCCTCTTGCAGGAACTGCTGACACACTCCAGCCACATGAGGTCTAGCATTGTCTTGCATTAGGAGGAACCTAGGGCCAACCGCACCAGCATATGGTCTCACAAGGGGTCTGAGGATCTCATCTCGGTACCTAATGGCAGTCAGGCTACCTCTGGCGAGCACATGGAGGGCTGTGCGGCCCCCCAAAGAAATGCCACCCCACACCATGACTGACCCACCGCCAAACCGGTCATGCTGGAGGATGTTGCAGGCAGCAGAACGTTCTCCACGGCGTCTCCAGACTCTGTCACGTGCTCAGTGTGAACCTGCTTTCATCTGTGAAGAGCACAGGGCACCAGTGGCGAATTTGCCAATCTTGGTGTTCTCTGGCAAATGCCAAACGTCTTGCACGGTGTTGGGCTGTAAGCACAACCCCCACCTGTGGACGTCGGGCCCTCATACCACCCTCATGGAGTCTGTTTCTGACCGTTTGAGCAGACACATGCACATTTGTGGCCTGCTGGAGGTCATTTTGCAGGGCTCTGGCAGTGCTCCTCCTGCTCCTCCTTGCACAAAGGCGGAGGTAGCAGTCCTGATGCTGGGTTGTTGCCCTCCTACGGCCTCCTCCACGTCTCCTGATGTACTGGCCTGTCTCCTGGTAGCGCCTCCATGCTCTGGACACTACGCTGACAGACACAGCAAACCTGTTGTCTATTCCATTTGCACAACAGCATGTGAAATGTATTGTCAATCAGTGTTGCTTCCTAAGTGGACAGTTTGATTTCACAGAAGTGTGATTGACTTGGAGTTACATTGTGTTGTTTAAGTGTTCCCTTTATTTTTTTGAGCAGTGTATTTTGAAAGAGGAGACGTTGAAGATTATAATAAATACAGCTTTGATGTCATACAAGCAATCCAAAACACCCATTATTTGGAAATGTGAAGTGCACATTTGGACTCATAAAACTCATGTCATATACAGTGTCAACGTTTATGATCACTATGCTTGATGTAAAGTCACAAGATGACATAGCATCATACCTTAGGATCATTCTGTTCAGAAAAAGCTGTTTGTTGTATTGTGAAGAAATTTGACAGGGAACACGCACTTGAATGCACCGGACTATTGTAGGCGCACCAAAATTACAATCGTATTTTGTAACTTAGCTAGCCATGTTGGCAACAGAACACGCTTTCAAATTATGGCTCTATCCTGAGTCGCGCGAACAAGTCTCCATTTAAGCTGAAACTATATAAAGTACCAGTCAAGAGTTGACACACCTACTCACTCAAGGGTTTCTTTATTTTTTTACTACTTTCTACATTGTAGAATAATATTCATATTATGGCAAGAACAGCTCAAATAAGCAAAGAGAAATGACAGTCCATCATTGCTTTAAGACATGAAGGTCAGTCAATACGGAACATTTCAAGAACTTTTAACGTTTCTTCAAGCGCAGTCGCAAAAACCATCAAGCACTATGATGAAACTGGCTTACCTCTGCTGCAGAGGATAAGTTCATTAGAGTTAACTGCACCTCAGATTGCAGCCCAAATACATGCTTCACAGAATTCAAGTAACAGACACATCTCAACATCAACTGTCTGCGTGAATCAGGCTTTCATGGTCGAATTGCTGCAAAGAAACCACTACTAAAGGACACCAATAATAAGAAGAGACTTGCTTGGGCCAAGAAACACAAGCAATGGACATTAGACTGGTGGAAATCTGTCCTTTGGTCTGATGAGTCCAAATTTGAGATGTATGGTTACAACCGCTGTGTCTTTGTGAGACGCAGAGTAAGTGAACGGATGATCTCTGCATGTGTGGCTCCAACCGTGAAGCATGGAGGAGGTGGTGTGATGGTGTGGGTGTGCTTTGCTGGTGACACCGTTTGTGGTTTATTTAGAATTCAAGGCACACTTAACCAGCATGGCTACTACAGCATTCTGCAACGATACACCATCCCATCTGGTTTGGGCTTAGTGGGACTGTCATTTGTTTTTCAACAGGACAATGACCCAACACACCTCCAGGCTGTGTAAGGGCTGCATCAGATGACCTGGCCTCCACAATCCCCCAATCTCAACCCAATTGAGATGGTTTGGGATGAGTCGGACCTCAGAGTGAAGGAAAAGCAGCCAACAAGTGCTCAGCATATGTGGGAACTCCTTCAAGACTGTTGGAAAAGCATTCCTCATGAAGCTGATTGAGGGAATGCCAAGAGTGTGCAAAGCTGTCATCAAGGCAAAGGTTGGTTATTTGAAGAACACCTTTTTGGTTACTACATGATTCCATGTGTTATTTCATAGTTTTGATGTCTTCACTATTATTCTACAATGTAGAAAATAGTAAAAATAAAGAAAAACCATTGAATGAGTAGGTGTGTCCAAACTTTTGACTGATTTCAAATGCCCATCACTATAACAAAGGTAAAGTAACGGGGTAGTATGTGACAAAATAAACAGGGAGAAGTGGTGTGTGTGTGTTTGTGTGAGTCTCTCTCACCTGTTCGGCAGCCCCGGGCTCTCTCTTGAGGATGGCCTCTGCAGCCTTGTTGTTCTTGTGTGTCATGGCGCAGGCGAAGGGGGTCATGCCCAGGCGATCACGCGCGTTCAGACGTATGTCCGGGTGGGATATGAGCAGCTGGATGATGACATTGTGCTGGCTGCTAATGGCAACGTGAATTGGAGCCCGGCCCTCTGAGTCCTGGGTAGACATAGCTCATATTAGCCACAATCAATGGACTTGGATGGGACAGACGCGAGATACTCATTTACATTTTTTTTTACATTTACGTCATTTAGCAGACGCTTTTATCCAGAGCGACTTACAGGAGCAATTAGGGTTAAGTGCCTTGCTCAAGGGCACATCGACATATTTGTCACCTAGTCGGCTCGGGGATTAGAACCAGCGCCCTTTCGGTTACTGGCACAACGCTCTTCACCACTAAGCTACCTGCCGCCCACTCACTCTCACTCACTCATTAAGCATGCTTTTAGATCATGACTCTCAAAGTGGAGGAATCTATTAAAAGTGAGGAGTGGGAGATTCCTGTGCTTAGAGGAGTGACTGCCTGGTGAGACTGACCTGTGGATTGACAGTCAGTGAGACTGCATATGCTGAAAAGCTGTTGTAGATGGCCTAGGCTCCATGAGGAGTAAAAGGCCTAAGTAAGTAAGTGAGACATACCTGTGTGTTGACATTGGCCCCAAACTCCAGAAGGCACTGCACCACCTCCTCCAGCCCCCAGCTGGCTGCCAGGTGGAGGGGTGACTGTCCGTCCCTGGCCTCCTCATCCCCCTCTCCGCTAGGACCCGGACGCCGCGGGCTGTTCACATCACAACCACTAGAGGAGAGACAGGATTAGACACATTTCAGCTGGCACTATACCAACAGGTTACAGTAAGAAACTAGAGCGTTGGAAGCCATTGACAGAGCAGCGTACACTCGACTAGAAAACACTGTAGATAGATCACTATTTGATATAGATCCTGTAAATAAAAAACTCAATTTCAAAGCGCTAAGTGTCTTTACCCTTTCATTCCTCTGTTAAACCAACATTAGAAATACACCCAGTTACCCCATGAACGAGTTGGCATGATAAAGTGGCTCTGTCGACAAGACAGATCACCTGAGGTAATTACAGAGCTACAGTAAGCCTGTTGGCTGGGACAGATTTGTATGGGCTGTGTGTGAGTTTACACAGTCATAAGGCATGGATCACACTGATTAACCATGAAACTACATCCTCTTGCTGACTCATTCAGAACCAAGATGGATTCCTCAACTATACTGAATAGAAATATATAAACGCAACATGCAACAATTTCAAATATTTTACTGAGTTACAGTTCATAAGGAAATCAGGTCAATTGAAATAAATTCAATAGGCCCCAATCTATGGATTTCACAAGACTGGGCAGGGGTGCAGCCATGGGTGGTGCGCCTTGGAGGGCATAGGCCCACCCACTGGGGAGCCAGGCCCAGCCAATCAGAATAACTTTATCCCCACAAAAGGGCTTTATTACAGACAGAAATACTACCACTTGAATTAGCAGCCAAACAACAATAAGTGTGAGCTTGATCATCACCCAGACCCAGGCTCTGCTAAACAGTAAAACCAACCCCCCCAAAAAAACACTGGCTTAACCCGGGTTGAAAATATTTTATCATTTATAATCATGCCCACCTTACCCAATATACCGGTATTGATGCAAGGACCAGTTTGGGTTTTTACTTTACCTTCTAACAGTATTTGAATGTTGGGTTTGTTAAAATGTGATATGCCGTGTGTAACGTACATTTTTATAGTTTACACCGCTACTTGAGTCATCCCTCTCCACGCCACGTCACTCAAGGAGCGCATTTGTTGTTGCTTGACCAGGAGGGACTTGTGTTCAGTCTGCATGGTCAATGCAGCACATGCAACAATGTTGATGACAACGATGTTTCCACTTTGCTTCTTAATATAAATCCACATGCGTTCTATAATTGCACTATTAGTTTGTGTTTCTTACATCTGCAAACAGCTAGTTTGTCTTTTCTTAGCAAGTTATTTTTTTTTTGGGGGGGGGGGGGGGGGGGGGGGGGGGATCGAGTGAACAACAATTCTTAGCATGTTCTTGCTAAATAGTGTTAGCTAGCTAGCTAATAAATGTACTGAGTCAGAGCAAACGTAGCTAGCTGTCCAGCCTGGTACCAGTGATGGTGTAGGCCTAAATCAGCATATTGATTGTGCAACAATATCTTCTATGTCAAAGAGGAATAGGCAAAGCATGAATATGTTGGCTACATGAAGAATAAACATTTAAGGTAGCCAAAGATTATGGGGTCCCCTAGAAAACACTGACCAACACTTTGGTTCCTACCCGGTCACAATAACTCCTCCCTGGCATTTTCATTAGTTGTCATGTCAAACAACACTGTATTCAAAGTGCCCACTATTATATTCTAACTATAGAATTAGAATAATCATTCAATTTCCATGATTCCAACAGTTCACCCAAGTGTTTTGATCTAAAAAATGGTCAAATAGCAATTGCAACATTTGGTTAAAAATAAGGCCTTGATTTTTTGCCCATATCGTACAGCCCTACGTGGCAGTGTGGAAATGATCTCAAATGAGTGCAGGAAATGCAGAAATTGATGAAAATACTGGAAATTATTTTTGGTTGAAGTTGAACAGTATAAAACAATCAGAAAGGAGAAAGACCCATTGAAATCACGAAATCATGTATGTGTTGCCGCCGTAGGGTCACGCACTACTCATACAGCAAATGTAGAAGTTTTATTATTCAAAAACATAAAATACTGTCAAAGATTACAAAAATAGTGATTTGAAAACTATTGTGATATTATATTTTAGCCATATCGCCCAGCCCTATCCAGAGTATTTTCAGATTTAGTTATCAACAAATGCCGCAAAAAGGATTATGGGCACATTGATGGATAAGGGCATTAGAAGGTGAGGTGCCACTCTCTCGGATATAAAAAGCAGTTTATATATTTGCTATAAAAGAGGGATGAGTATCATTTGCTGTGAGACCATAGTAAAGGATGAGTGCAGCCACCCATTGAGGCGGGGTCGGCAACACTCTCTCCATTCTACAAATATGTTAATTTGATCAAGAGGAATGAGTGCGTTGTGAGGGATGAGTGATCAGACAGACCTGCGGATGAGGAAGCAGGCGGTGACCTCGTTGTTCTCATCCACAGCCCTGTGGAGGAGGGTCTGCTGACAGCCTGAGGGACCAGAGCTCCAACTGGTGGCGTCACAACCGTGTCGGACCTACAGTAGCAGAGACCAGCAGACATATTCACATACCAATCCCACTCAAAACTAGGACCGGCCAGGAGTTTTTTTTTCCTGACCTGGATGACTCCTCGCCCTACTTATGACATGCACGTTATAGACTAGCATACTGAGTTGAGGCTCTCACATACAACCATCATGGGATTCCATGGTCACTTATTTGCATTCATCTGTGAGCTCCCATTTCCACAACCACCACACTTCCTCCCACTTCGCCGCCTTCTTTACCCCCCCTCTTCCTCAGGTCTCACCAGTGTGGAGGCGATGTCCTCTAGGCCGTTCTCCAGGGCCAGCCACAGAGGGGGGTGTCCCCTCTCGTCCACCACGGACATGTCGGCCCCCCGTGTGCAGATTGCGTCCACCACCAGGGGGAGCTGGTTACTGATGGCCAGCTGCAGCGCAGTCTCACCCTCCTGGGTTCTGCGGGGAGGGAGACATGTCGGTCTTTTACACCTACTTACATAAACACCTCACAGGGATACACAGCCAATGTGCAACACTACAGATCATATCATCTATGGCTTGTGCTACCATACATCTTTGCATTGTTGTATAAAATGGGAGACTGCTCCATTGTTTTTGTATGATACGTTGTCTGACTTTTAAGAAGGCAAATTAAATTCCCCTCGAGGGGAAATAAAGAATTGAGAAATGCAACTGCTGGTTTATGAAGCTCCTGATCTGTGACTTATTGTCCCCATCCTGTCCTCCTACTTGACATTGATGTCAGCCTGGTGCTCCAGGAGGAATAGGGCACTCTTGCTGTCCTGTCTGTGGATGGCCATGTGCAGCAGGGTCTGACCATTGGACATGGTGTCGTTGATGGACGCCCCAGAGCCCAGGAGTTGGGCTGCTATGGTGTGTATACCTGAGGGACAGACGAGAGACACAGGCAGACTGAATGCTGTGGATCCCGAACAGCAGTGAGGTTGAACACATGATCTGATGCAGAACATTGTTCCGTGAGACCAAACTACCCTTTTAAAATCCTATTTAAAATCCTGTCAATTGCACCTCTCCACTGTTGATTTGTTCTGTATCTTGATCGAACAGTGCGAAAAGTCCAAAAGAAGCAGGTGCAAAGCACAGGCAAAGCAGTGGCGCACACGGCAGGAGCAGGACCTCAATCTGGGACAATCTGTAAGGGGAGCTACTGCTAGACTACAGTGGGGACTACGTCTATAGCAGCGGTTCCCAACCTTCTCCGTTCCGGGGACCACCAAATCAGTCAAAAGCACGAGGACCACCATTCGCGGAGTCACAAATAATTTCTAAAAATTATCTTGGTGGTCAAATTTAGTCCATTTTAGCAGTGAATGTTACAAGTTAAAGGCCTACTATTATTATTAACAATTTGCATTGTGAAAAGTACATGTAAAAATAGCTTAAAATACTATTAATACTCCCAAGTGTTATTAATTTAGGAAGAAAATTAATCTATAATTTTTTTACGTTTAAAATGTGCGGACCCACAGGTTGAAAACCACCGGTCTATGGACTATGTTTTAGGTTGGACTATCATGACTAGAAACGTTTGGCTGCACATACCTCCGTTTGTCTCGCTATCCATGGCATGCGAGACTGGAAAAGGAGGAGGAAGTGTGAAGGAGTGAGCCCTACAAGGACATGAAGCTACTCAGTCTGTTTTTAAAAGGATACTCCGCAATTCTGGCAATTAAGTTGTTTTTCTACTTACCCAGAGTCAGATGAATTTGTGGAGTACCTGTAGACTTCCAATGACTGGAAGTCTAAAGGCACATTAGCATATGCTAGCCTACCTGTAGACTTCCAGTCATTGCGCTAACGCTTGTTAGCGTTGGCTCACAAAACTACCTCTAATTTCCTTCATACTGCACACAGAGATAAAAATGATATCCACAAGTTAATCTGACTCTGTTTATGTAGACAAACTCCATAATCTCACAGTATCCCTTTAAATGCATTTTAATTGATAGAGCGTCGGCCAGCTCTTTCACACTGACATAGCTAGTAGCTACCCATCTGGTGAGTGTAGTGTTTTTGTTGTTAGTGAAGCCTACCTGTCCAGAGGGCTAGGCCCAACACCGTCTGGTCCATGGAGTCTTTGAGGCTGAAGTCTGGGATGATTTGTAGGTTGTTGGTGGCGTGAAGAGCATTGGCTGGAAACACCAGGAAATGACATTGTCGGTATGCCGGTAACAAATTCAATATTCCCTCTGGGTGTCAATCATGTTCATTCATCTCCTGGGCTGATTGACGTGGAGATGCTGCCCACTGTCCACTAACCTACCTTTCTGTTCCAGGATGACTGACACCACGTCGGGGTGGTTGTGTACGATGGCCATGTGGAGGGGGCTCTGCAGGGACACCCCCTGGGCCAGGGCCTCATCGGGGAGGGCCTTCTGGGTCTGCAGGTTAGGGTTAGCCCCCTGCTGGAGCAGCTCTGCCGTCAGGCCAGCCAGACCACAGCGACACGCCGTGTGGAGAGGGGTCTCACCCTATGGGGGAGGAGGAGGAGACATACATACACAGAGAGTCAGACATACAAACAGACAGGATAGAGTGTGTTTTTTTTTTATAGCTTGTATGACGCAGTAGTTTGTGATGCAGTGCAGTTTGAAGCAGCAGAACTTAAGATTCACTATTGCACTGTAGTGTCTGAAGTAGTCATTTGTGATGAACTGACAGGGGTGTGATGTATCATGTGATTCTGCAGTACATCATTTCATACCCATTTGTTGGCATGGTTGACCTTTGCCCCATGTGTGGCCAGGAAGAGGGCGGCAGCCTCACTGCCAACACCCGCTGCCCTCTGCATGAGACAGTTCTCTGAGGAGGGATGGATGGAGGGAAGGAAGAAGCGAGAGAAGGAGAAAAAGAGTGTAAGATTCAACAACATAATAGTGCACTGACTTCCATATCGTTTAATACTTTATTTATTTTATTATTATTCATTCAAGTTACAAATCATACATAAACATGTATACATTATCCCATCCCATATTCCCTTCAAATCAGACATTTTACCTGTGGCTGTGTCTGGTGCGTCTGGGTTACTGCCTCTCTGGATGAGCTGGGCAGCAAAGCTGTTTTCATCAAACAATGTTCCATTCTCCACCACCGGAGCGTCGTCCTCGAAGGGGTTAACGTTGGGGTCAGAGGACACGGTGATGTACTGCAGGGCCAGCCACAGAGCTGTGCTCCCCTCATGGTCCTTCAGGTCCAGGTCCAGCCTGAGGAGAGAGGCACAGGAGGAAAAAGGGGAGGAAAGAGGGGGGGGGGGGGGGGGGGGCGAGAGGAAAGGGGCAAACAGAGGAGGGAATAGGAGAGGAAAGGAGGAAAGAGAGGAATGGGGAAAGAGAGAAGGAAATATGACAGTAATACAGCAGGAAATAGAGGCTACACCTCAGGATGTTTTCAATAAGGTCAATGGGGACTAGGACATGTGGTTGGTTTAGTAAAAGGTTTTCTGTTTTAACTCACTGTTTACACTGTAGGAGCTGGTTGAACACAGGCTCGTTCCCCGACACCACCGCTTCATGTAGGGAAGTTCTGTGAAACAAAAACCAAAAACGTATAGCATCACAGTATTGGGATCATGAAGAAAAAAAACTCACACAAACAGATCAAAGCATTAGAAGCAATGGCAGATTGTGTCTATAAAGTTCAGATGCTGATTTGAAGTCAGAACAATCAGTCTAAATCAAGCTCCAACTCGAATAGACCGTTGCTATATCACACCAGATGGGCTCAATGGATCAGAGTGATTGCTGTATAGTATTACCCACCTTCCCTTGCTGTTCTGCATGTTGGGGTTGGCCCCTATCTTGAGTAGGGCCTCTGCGATGCGGGCCATGCCACTCATCACCTCCCCAGAGTGCTTCTTGGGGCTAAAAGAACACACCAGGTGCAGGGGGGTCTCCACCGCCCCGACCGTGGCCGCGTTCACCTGGGCCGAGTGGCGGATCAGGAAGGTGGAGGCGAACTCATCACCTGCGGGGGCAGAGGAAGAGAAGAAAGGGTGAGGGAATCAAGACGCACGTCTCCATTCTCCACACTTTCCCATTCCATGACTGGCTGTGTGTGCGGGTGCTGTAGTAGTGCGCACATCAGGAGACGTGTGGAGAAGTAGGACACACAATGGGGTGTGTCTTTACCCTTAGTATTCAACACGGTTCATCTCTAGCCCAGCATTGAGCTTACATGGGGAGGGTTGTTGTTGATAATGCAATGTACCTGAAGCCATATATATTACGTGACATACTGTAGAGAAAGAATGTGCGACACCCACTACCTCTTTGGATGGCTTTGTGAAGGAGGCTCCAGCCACTCTGGTCCACCATGTCCACGTCTGCTTTGTTGTTGACCAGCGTGGTGGCGATACTCTCCAGTTTACGAGACAGAGCCAGGTCCAGGGCCAAGTCGCCATTGTTGTCCAGTTCATTCAGCTTCCCAGGCAACTGGAGATGTGGAGAATACAACATGTATACATTTTTTTATAAAAACGGTCTAGTTGGCTTCTCAACACTGCTCTGTAAACGGATCCTTTCTCAGCACTCCAGCTGAGACTCCTTGTGAATACGGGGCTGGGTGATAAATCAAATGAATCTTTTAGCACGATGTTCCAAATGCCTGTATCGCAATACCTTTTTAGTCTCTTCTTCATCGCTCCTTGTGTGCTGTGTGTACCATGCACCTTCCCACTCGCACAAACACCAAGCCCCTCCCCCCGCCACTCGACAAAAGATCCCTTCTTCCTCTGTGACAACAAGCAGTTTCAACTCGCTATTTGCATTTGAGGTTTGGTCCAACAGAAATCGGTTGATTCCCCTTCTAATGATACCCTTTTATCTCGACTTCCAACATTTAGAACATAGCAGATCCTACTGAAACGGGAGGATTCATTTGTTTTTTTTATTCAACTAGGCAAGTCAGTGAAGAACTAATTCTTATTTACAATGACGGCCTACACCGGCCAAACCTGGACGACGCTGGGCCAATTGCGTGCCACTCAACGGGACTCCCAATCACGGCCGGTTGTGATACAGCCTGGAATCGAACCAGGGGGTCTGTAGTGACGCCTCAAGCACTGAGATGCAGTGCCTTAGACCGGTGCACCACACGGGAGCCCAATGAACATGATTGTGGAAAATTATGCTCAGTTTGTCACGCACTGCTTGCAGCATAACACATATTTATATAAGGAATTGGCATAGCAACTTGAGAAATGCTTATCTTCTTACCCAGGTAGGCCACTTGATTTCAACATCTAAACAAAGTGAACAGGCTGTTGTTCTAACAGTTGGAGGTTGGAGACATACAGGAGGGTGTGTTCATAACAATTCAACTGTTCTACTTTGTTAGCTAGCAAATAGATCCAAGTTGGCTAAACTCGAAATATAAAGATTAGCTGGCTACTCACTAGCATGTGGGCTTGTGCTTCAGAGATTGTTTATGAGACCTGTGTTAATGTTCTAGAATGCCTGCTACCAGAAGTTGGTCATTATTAATGTGCACTGCATTTTGCATGGTTTTGGTTATAGTAACAAAAATGGCATTTTCATAGACAGACTTGAAAGTCAGATCAGTGATTTTTGCAAAAAAAGCAGGTTAAACTGTTTTGATAAAATAATGAAATTATTAGTGAGTCTTTTGGTTGTGCAAGGCTTATATTTAGCCTAGGTATAATTTTACAAGCCCTGAAACTACTTGGGGGGTCTCCGAGGCAAACCTGTGAAGCTTTCACTCACCTGCGAGTCCATCTCAATGAGGTAGAGGAAGACCACGTCTTCCCTCTCGACTTTGATGGCTTTGTGAAGTGGGAAATCTGTTTTAGACTTGATCATCTTGTAGAGCAGCGGAGCACTCATAGTGCTGAAGTCCTCTTTCCTCAGGTCATCCTGTTGAGACAAAGATAGGAGTTTATTTTATTTTTTAATATGAAAAATGCTCTGTCATCTGGGTCACAGAAATATAATTACTAGAACAGACATTCCCATTCAAGGTGGTCTTGAGGGGCTTTGTCCCTTCTAGAAATTCTATGATCTAAGTGGTGTTACAGTAAGACAGGAGGATGCGTGTCTTCAATATTTCATTTCTTTCCAGTTTCTTTTGTCTTTTTCCTCAGTCCAAACCTCTAATCAAAGCCTACGCCAGAGTAATACAAGTATAATGAAACAGCAGATTGAGGCTTCAGGAGCCACAGCAGTCAGTCACACAGCGTCAGCAGCAGCACTAACAGCAGTCAGCTGAAGAAAAATGACAAGTCATTTCCTCGGTCCTAGTCATTAACAGGACCTTGAGAATCACAGGATTCTGGCCGCCGAGCATGGGATTTATGAGGTTATAAGACGATGGGCTCCTTGACACAGAGAGAGAGAGATATAACTCAGGTCTGGGCTCAGGACTTAAAAGACATGGGATACACCCCACAGACTGGACACATGGAGACAGTCCAGGCGACCAGTTTCAGTGTTTCCCCTAGGATTTTTTTCAGCAGCGGTGGGCATGACCAATGGTGTGGTCGCCGACCAAACATTTGAGTCTGTCCTTAGACAAAATGTTGCTGTTTTAAAGCAAATGTTCTGTTCTACACATTTTGCCATAGGCAGAAAGAAAAGTTTACAGTTTTAAAGCAAGTTCGCTGCAATACGACATTTTGCCATTGCTTATGCCGTGTTCTTATGCTATCGGAATCACTTAAACAGAACAACAAAATCAATGGGGGCCCCATGCCATGACATTTTTGGAATTTTAGATTCTCCCTGACTGTCTAGTTAATTTTGGTGATCGTTAGTGCTCAAAGATGATCTTATTTAAATATATATTGCTCCATTATCTTTTCTATATACTTCCTATCCTGGTTTTAGTCATTTAAGTTTACACTGAAAACATTTTACCATCCCAAATAAATAAATAAAAACACACACAGTGAAAAGTTTTAGAACACCTTCTCATTCAAGGGTTTTTCTTTATTTTTACTATTTTCTACATTGTAGAATAATAGTGAAGACATCAAAACTATGAAATAACATATGGAATCATGTAGTAACCAAAAACAAGTGTTAAAACAAATCAAAATATATTTTATATTTGAGATTCTTCAAATAGCCACCCTTTGCCTTGATGACAGCTTTGCACACTCTTGGCATTCTCATGAGGACCGCCACAGGAATGGAAGACCCAGAGTTACCTCTGCTGCAGAGGATAAGTTCATTAGAGTTACCAGCCTCAGAAATTACAGCCCAAATAAATGCATCACAGAGTTCAAGTAACAGACACATCTCAACATCAACTGTTCAGAGACTGTGTGAATCAGGCCTTCATGGTCTAATTGCTGCAAAGAAACCACTACTAATGGACACCAATAAGAAGAGACTTGCTTGGGCCAAAAACACAAGCAATGGACATTAGACTGGTGGAAATCTGTCCTTTGGTCTGGAGTCCAAATTGGAGATTTTTGGTTTCAACCACTGTGTCTTTGTGAGACGCAGTGTGGGTGAACTGATGATCTCTGCATGTGTATTTCCCTCCGTAAAACATGGAGGTGGTATTATGGTGTGGAGGTGCTTTGCTGGTGACACTGTCTGATTTATTTAGAATTCAAGGCACACTTAACCAACATGGCTACCACAGCATTCTGCAGTGATACGCCATCCCATCTGGTTTGGGCTTCGTGGGACTATCATTTGTTTTAAACAGGACAATGACCCAACACACCTTCAGTGCTACATCAGATGACCTGGCCTACACAATCACCCGACCTCAACCAAATTGAGATGGTTTGGGATGAGTCGGACCGCAGAGTGAAGGAAAAACAGCCAACAAGTGCTCAGCATATGTTGGAACTCCTTAAAGACTGTTGGAAAAGCATTCCAGGAGAAGCTGGTTGAGAGAATGCCAAGAGTGTGCAAAGCTGTCATCAAGGCAAAGGGTGGCTATTTGAAGAATCTCAAATATAAAATATTTTGATTTGTTTAACAGTTTTTTGGTTACTACATGATTCCATATGTGTTATTTTATAGTTTTGATGTCTTCACTATTATTCTACAATGTAGAAAATAGTAAAAATAAAGAAAAACCCTTGAATGAGTAGGTGTTCTAAAACTTTTGACCGGTAGTGTATATATATTTAAACAATTTTTTGAGAGAGAACATTTTTCATACAGTATCTTTTGGAGCGGCAGCAACGATTTGCTAAATAAATATAGGGGAATCACTGTGGTTGCTACGGGAAACTAAGTAGTGATACCATAGAGATTGAGCTGTTGAGTACAACTTGGCTGCTAGATTATTGACTGGATTCATTTTCATTTAAAAAGGACAGGTTACACATTATATTTCCGCAAATCTAACAAAGTAGAGAGATGATATTCCATCTAAAATCGGTCTTTAGGCAAAAGTTTATGAACAACAAATATTACACAGTTCTATTTTCGCAATTTGAATTACATTTATCAAAAACTCATACCAACAATACCTTGCGGCTTTGACGTCAAGAGAGGAACGGCCTGGTGGTGGCGGCAGTGCACCGTTTACTGGCATGCATGTTTGGTCGAAATGCGAGAAAAAAGTTGTACCGCTTCAGGCAGACTGGGTCAGGGGAACCCCTGGCCCTTCAGTCATAGTCGGGGCTCACTTTGCCCCAAACGTTTATGACGGCTTCCAACAGTGGAAGAGTGGATTCACCATGAAGCGGAGGCTAAAAACTGGTTCTGTGCCCACAGTATATGTAGGTTCCAAGTCCACTGACACCAACGGTGTTACAGCACCACAGGGCGGCTTCGGTGATGGCGCTGAATCGGGTAAGTAGGTACTAAAGTGCGCAAAATAGTTTTGTCATGTCATGTTGCTAGTAGATTATAAAAAAGTTAGATATACAGTTATCCAAGTGCACTGGGCCATGCAAAATTAATTGGCCCACTCACACGGATCTAGCATGGTGTTTGGTGATAGAATAAGCTAGCTAGCAAGCTAGCTACAACAACTACAACAACAGAATACTGCATGTTTTGCAGAAATGAATGGTCAAATACCAATCTGATTAATGTAATTGTTTATGTCTTTATTTTCGATGAACTGCTTGGTCATTATAGGCCGACATAACATGCAGGATATCATGGAAGGCGATGTTTGTTTTAGCAACTATACCTGGATTTACTACTGCTAGTGGTAGCACTTAGGTTAGCATGTGGCTAGCTATAGCTACCATCGGCCAACAGAGTTTTAGCCAGTTTGGTTATAAACGTTCAATGTCTACTATGACGGTAAAGGTTTATCTTGATTTTGTGTAACAGTACGAGAAATGTTGATGTGCTGAACTGCTAATAAGTGATGCGTTTATTGGATGCTAGTGGTTAGCTAGTAGGGGTAAGCTAGCAGGGGTGTAAAAGGGGCTATGCTAAAAGCCTGCACGCTGTATAAGCAAAAATTATTTTGCAATACAGAATAATTAAACTAGAGGATATGGTCAATGATAAATTGCCATTTTTCAATGTGCAAAGAATAGGACTCGTTCTTTACCGTCTTATGTGGACAGTGGCTTGCTTCACTCCTGCTCGTGTAGTGCTCCTCTTTACGTCACTTTACCGACATGACTTCGGTCAAATATAACTTTCTCCCAAAATACAAATGTAAAGTGATATGTCGCATTGGGACTTTTAGTTGGAAGGATGAAACAAATCAGAATGTTTTAACAGCAACCTAATTCTGCAATCTTCCCTTTAAGGTATTTCGAAACATATTTTTAGATGAGGTTAAGGAGAGTGAAGTATGTAACAGATCATCCAGATGGGAGCTAGAGAATAATCAATAGCACTGTAAATTGAGATGACAGTATAATGAGTGATGCATGATCAGGCCGAGCACTACTGGACATCATCTGAGATATGAAATGAACTGTGTATTGATTCAAGCCCCTTCAATCCCAGCCAGGACTTTCCGATAAACATGGAGACAGTCCTGTCCACAGTTGGACAGTCAGTGGAACAGTGGAGACTCACCCAGTGGCTGGCGATAATCTCTCCGCAGTAGTTCATGAGGGTGGTGGCGTCCAGCTCCTCAGCCGTCTGGTAGAACCGGATACAGTTCCTCACGTTCACAGATGACATCACCCCTTTCTCACACCTGTTCCAAGAGAACAAAAGCAGTGTTTGAGAACACTGATGTCAATCAGAAATATTGGACAATGCATTTATAGCCACCCTAGAGGAAAGGAAAACACAAAGAGTACATGTGCCCTTAGGCAGTAAACACACACTTGGCTTTAGAACACCTTATAGCCCCCAGAGTGTGTGTATGTGAGTTTGAGATGACAGTCGGTAACCGATCCGTGACTAAGCAGAATTGATGCTCTCAAACACAGCCAATGTGTTTCAGCCCCTGCCTACCTTTCTCGGAGCAGCTGCAGCTGGAAGCGGTTGGCCAGCTTCATCAGGTCGATGAGGAAGGCATCGTTCTCACTGAGCTCCAGATCGTCTGTGTAGGCCCAGCGCAACATCGCCATGGCAACCTCCGGCTTGGCATCTGGAACACCCAGCATGGGAGAGACGGTTTTAACTACCCAGAGTGGAACGAAAGATAACTTAACTGAACTAAAGCTACACTATCAATGAACCGCTTTTAAATGCAGTTGTTGGAAGAAACCAAAACCGTGAACACAATGGACTCGAGGGTGGAGTCTTTGTTTTTGCTCAGCAAGTTCATGGCGTAACAAACCAAAATATGTGAGATTTTACTTCTGGGTTAACAGAGATTAAATTCTGGATTATAGTGACGTGAGTGTGACAGAAGGGAGGGTAGCTCACCAGACAGGTCCAGTTCGGAGGTGGAGGCCAGGTTGGCCAGGCTCCAGGCATCACTGCGAGCAGCCAGGACAAACTTGTGAGCGTTGAGCGTCGTCTCTCCAACAGTCACCTTCAGATCACTACAAACATGGCAACAACCACAACATAAGTGAGAAAGAATATCTTCATAGCTAAAGTAACTAGGTAGGTATTGCGTAATTTCTCAGGATTTCTGTAGATATCTGTGAATCATAGAATCTAAGACCGGTTTGGTATAATCGATGGGGAAAAATGTATCCTTGGTGTCATTGACCAATGATATCACATCAAGTGCAATTATTTTCTTGTTCTCCACCTCAAGAAAACGAAGGAGCAAAAGCACAGTAGGTCTGAGTGGCGCAGTGGTCTAAGGCACTGCATCGCAACTAGAGATCCTGGTTCGAATCCAGGCTCTGTCGCAGCCGGCCGCGACCGGGAGACTCATGGGTGGCGCACAATTGGCCCAGCGTCGTCCAGGGTAGGGGAGGGAATGGCCGGCAGGGATGTAGCTCAGTTGATAGAGCATGGCGTTTGCAACGCCAGGGTTGTGGGTTTGATTCCCACGGGGGGCCAGTATAAAAAATATATATATATGTATTCACTAACTGTAAGTCGCTCTGGATAAGAGCGTCTGCTAAATGACTAAAATGTAAAATGTAAATGTCTTCTTACCTGGTGTGACCATGGGAGTATGTCACTGCATACATCACACACTACATGCCACCCCCCCCACTCACACACACACAAATACACACCTCCCCTCCACACCACTACCCTCACCTGTACTGGTCCTGCTGGTAGAGCTCGGACACGATGTCCAGCAGGCGGCTGATGAAGGTGTCTTCTGACCCGGCTACGGAGGCCTTGGTGGAGCCCTGGCCAGAGGCCTGAGCAGCCAGCACGGCACAGCGCCTCTCTGTGTCAGCCAGCTTCTGCTGCATCTTCACATACTCCTGCCTCAGCAGGGCTAGGTGCTTCTGCAGCTTGGCCACCTCCTCTGTCCCAGAGAGAGTAAAGAGATAACTGCATGCTTTCCCGACGAGGCATAGTGGGAGGACCACACACCATGTCATTGCGTGACTACAAGTTTATTTCGATATGACGGTTATTATATCAATATTTGCGCATAAAGGAGTTTCCGTCACCATTTCTCCCATAATGAGCTGGGATGATAAATATAAAATTATTGATATCGATCAAACCAATAATTTATCAGACATTTTACTGATATCGATGCACACTGTATACTTATTGTTCAATTTATAGTTATTGTGAAATTTCAGTCGATTTATTGGGATATGGATTTATGTCCATATCACCTAGCTCTAGTCTATAGGCTCTGACATGAGGTTGGAATGAAATATTTCTGGGGATTACAGTTCCCTGTAGCTCAGTTGGTAGAGCATGGTGCTTGCAACACCAGGGTTGTGGGTTCGTTTCCCACGGGGGGCCAGTATGAAACTGTATGCACTCACTAACTGGATAAGAGTGTCTGCTAAATGACTAAAATGTAAATGTAAAATAATACATTATACAGACAAAAACATCTCACCATGTCGACCAAACAAATTATCTGTCGGCATTTATTTTAAAAAATTGCAAAACCTCCTGTTTCCATCACAGCGGTTGTGATTTATTTTATATGGTATGACATTACTCGCATAATAACTGGATGGAGACTTGGGTATTTTTTTCTTGCCAAAGTAACCCTAATCGAGGTTGTATTGTTTAAAGTAGGCCTAGTATTTTGCAAGGCAGCTTCCTGTCTGGATATAGGCTATGGATATTTCACATTAGGGCTTACTACGCATCTGAGCCCACTCAGCCCAGGATTGCACTTAACTTCCCTCTCCCATTTCCTTCCCTTTTCGCCCTAAATTTTGAGTGAAGACAGAATGCTGAGGCAGCACATAACTTTTCCCTCCCATGGGTCAGAGGGTAAGGCTAACTCTAGCTTACTGGCTATAGTCATGGGCGGCTGCCAGTACCACCTGATCAACGACCACAGGAAAGGCTCACTGATGCAATAGCAAGATAGGCTGAGCTGTTTAACAAAAAAACGTTTCAGAGCCACAGTCTGAATGCATGCATTACCCCAGTGCTACTCATACTTGTCACACTTCATTCATAATGTTCCATTCGTTTTGAAAAGAGGATATGAATGCCATTTTTTGTTGCATGTTTTAAGCTTATTACCTTCAACTCAGCCCTTTTAGACATCTTTAGAATAAGCTTTACAGGAGCAATACAACTATAGCCTTCTCCAAGTGTACACAGCACTTGGGACTTCAATGGACGAGTGACAAGCTTATGAAATCTAACGTTAGCTAGTGAAAAATGATTGGTGGCTTAGCATGACAAAAAAAGAAATACTGAACAAAATCAATCCATGCAACAGTTGTAGGCAGCACAAACACTAGCCGAGTTTACTCAACTCCACGACATGGAAGATATCCATATAACAAGGATCTCTAAACTAGAGATACACAAACACCTGCTAGTGTAGTGTTCACTAACTGTAAGTCGCTCTGGATAAGAGCGTCTGCTAAATGACTAAAATGTAAATGTAAATGTGTAGCATTATAATTGATTTAGAGTAGTTAGTTAGCATGTACTGTAGGCCTACTGTATATGCACTCTCAGGCTGCCACACAGCAGAATGAGCAAAAAATAAATAAACTGGCGGTAGTCACATTAATCAAAACATGACCACTGTACTGACACCGCTGTGTCAAAGCAGGTAAATTAGTTACATTTATCTTCAGTCGAGATTAATTGGCATGTATCCCACAAACTCATAAAATCTAGGCAGCTACCCTTTTAGCTAACTAGCTACAATAAAAACAAAAGCGTTCAATAATGCAACACCAATTTTGCATTTGGTTACAATGTTTAATTTAGCTGAGTAACTAACCTTACCTAGCCCGCTAGTTAGCTACATTGTAACGTTATTCTCGACATAAAATGACTCCTCCTAAGAGGTCGATTTGCACAGTTAGTTTTAACTACAATATCGACAAAAAAAGCTAACGTTTTCTTACTGATAGCAAATTAAGAAGTGTATAATCACTTTCCTTATGCATTCTGCGTCAGCACATTCGGCTTTCTTTAGCTATATACCAATCCAGTTAATTACGTTCAAGCACCCTGCGAATTAAAGAAGTGTCTAGCTAAACTAGTATAGATGGATAGCTGCCTTCTCCGCCCAACCCACACCAGACCACCTTACAAGCTAGCTAAGGTTTCCACTAGATAGTACAACCACAAAGTCAAAATTGGCTATATCGTAAAAATTCATGAAAACTAAATGTAGTTTTTTGGTCTTAATTTAAGGTTAGGGTTAGGCATAAGGTTAGCAGTGAGGTGAAATTTAAAATAGCATTTTAAGAAGATACATTGTAGAAAAGGGCGGGGTGTATGACTATGTGGCTGTAGTAACTAGTGACGACCCACTAGCTAGCTGCAAGTTAAAATTAGCCGCTAACTGCACAAGATGAAAAAGAGACAGTCGTTTATCTTTTATAACATTGCAAATTAAATCAAATCTCGTATAGTCATTCAGCGATTCCTGTAATACATTTAATCCGCATCTAACTAGCTAATAAAGAAAGGGCGTAAACATACACATACCTTCCGCCATGTTGGTTCCGTGGCTTTTGGTTTTTTGGTTTTCTAGTTTCTTCTTCTTCTTCTTCTTCTTCTTCTTTTTTGGTATAATGGGGTTCGCAACAAGTATATGTGCATTCCGCCACTTACTGTGCGGGTGGATAATAAAGATCCCCAAAATTAAATCATGCAGTTGGTTTTCTATCGCGAGATGACAAAGCAGAAAGTGGGCGGTGAAAGTAAATTCTCACTCAACATTTTCTTCTTCTTGCAATGTGTATTGGAGGATCGAAACCGTTAGGGGTGTACACCGCCACCTACTGTACTGGAGTGTGAAGCCTGTCACTTCCCCCCTATTCATCCATTTCTTTTTTCTTTTACACCCCCTTTTTCTCCCCAATTTCGATATTGTCTCATCACTCCAACGGGCTCGGGAGGTGAAGGTCGAGTCATGCGTCCACCGAAACATGACTCGCCAAACCGCGCTTCTTAACACCCGCCTGCTTAACCCGGAAGCCAGCCACACCAATGTGTCACAGGAAACACCGTTCAACTGACGACCGACGTCAGCCTGCAGGTGCTAGGCCCTCCACAAGGACCCAGCTAGCAATGAGGAATCGGCCCTCTTTCGGGGGGGCAGAACTGATTGAATCGGCCCGGAATCAGGTGTCGGACTCGGCCCGGAAACAAAATTAATGACTGCCCAGAATGGGCCCAAGTACATCGGGCCGTTTCCGTCTACCAGAATTCAGCCGACTTTGCTGGCATCTTACCAGAATCCCCCCAGAAGCGTCCCGATGCAATTTTTAATAAATGTATACAAAATTACCCGATTTAGTCATTTTAAATATTACTATTATACATACAAATTATACCCATCAACAAAGTTTTGAATGCTGATCAATTGCCTTGCACAAAATATCAAAATACTAAAATACTACTTAAACAGCAAAGACTCTTCAACATTTTTATTTAAATGTTAATTTTATTTCTTGATCACAGAAACAATGAGAAGTAGTTGATTTTGTCTATTTAAGCTTTCTTTCTATTTATGCTCTGGTAGGCATTCATTTTTCTCCATCACTCCTCCAAGGTCTGGTCACTTCTCACTCGCTCTCTCCTTTTTCTCCCTCCATCTCTGTCAGGGGCTAGCTGCATCCATCGTTTTATGTATCTTTCTATCTCCACATCAGGAACTTCAGAATAGCTGCAACGCACAGCACCTTTGTAAATATCAGAAAGAGAGAAAATAGAACACTTATTGAAATACTCCCTGAAATGTGTGTGCATTGGGTATATGTTCTGAAATTGTTAGATATTACTTGTTAGATATTACTGCACTGTCGGAGCTAGCACAAGCATTTCGCTACACCCGCAATAACATCTGCTAAACACGTGTATGTGACAAATAAAATGTGATTTGATTTGGAATATGACTCATAGTTTCTGCAACTCCCCTATCCATACAAAATAGTTTTATCAATGGCTTTTTGTAAAATATTTCCAGTTCATTATATTCTTCCTGCCTTGAAAACTGTGTTGTAATAATGAACTCTGCTGACAATCAAATCGACATGCTGGCCTGTTTTATTTAATTAATCACTTCTGTGACATTATGCCTCTCTGCCCCATGCAGTGGCCTTGAAAGCAAACTTACCCATAACAACACTTTTTAAGGCAAGAGGTTCAAAAGCCTGTTTCCCATTGGCCCCTCTCCAATTCATTTTCATGGCCAGGCCACTTGTAAGGAGTTTTGAGAGGATTCTCCACACATTCTCCTTGGTGGTCATCCCTCCAGACAGTCCCAAATATATGGTCTGAAAAACAAAAACTTGTATATGATGAATATAATACTAATTTGAAGAAAGCTGGAATGGTACTCTGGGTCAGATTATGGCTTTGTTGATTACTTTTCAGCAATACATGTAATGATATAATGATATTTTGTCACATCAGGTTTTTTTAAAAGTCTTGATCTAAAAGTTGGCCCTCAATTCTCCTCAAGTCTTCCAGTGAGGACATTGGAAGTCGAAGGTCTGTCAAATCTGGAACCTCATCCAGGGTTGATCTGTTCGCCTGGAGCTTTTGCAGCTGCAGCAAAATCAGCTTTTGCTGTTGCTTAATCATTTCTATGGAGGTTAAGATCTCACAAAGAATTGCTGCAAAAATACAAAACAGAACACAGTTGTGTTTTATCCCTCACATTCTTTCAGTATTTAAAGTTATAAAGGATAATAAAGATAAATGTAAACAACATAATCAACGCAATCACATTATAGATCAGGGGTGAGCAACTTTGATGTTGGTGGTGGCCACAATATGTACCTTACATGTA